GTACCATAAGGTAAACTCATATGATTATTCCATGTAAACACCACATTTACCTGCTTAGTCACGGTGAAAGTGAAACCTTAACGATGCATAGTGCTTAAAGCCACGTTAAAATTCAATGTTTACGGCCACATGAAGCTGTTAGAAAGCAGAAAGATTGAGGATTTTCTAGAAACAAGGATAAAATATCATTTTGTGTAAACACCCTAACAAAATGATAGCTGAAATGTGGTACTTTATTTACTAAAATAAGTTTAATCTTACCATATCCAAAATCCTCACTCGTCTTTCACCAGAGATCTGTTTTATTAGTAGTAACAGTAGTAGTAGTAATGTAATAGAAATTATAAATGTATCTACCTAAGAGTTACAAATAAAACAAAATTACGGCTTATTTCTGCATTTCCAGCAAAATCATCTCCCCCCATTCCCTGCATGGTTCAAGAAGATATAACTGCAGACCGGAGATCTCCAAAATGGGGCGTGAACTCCAGAAGTGGGCAGAACCTCCAAAATGGGGCGGGGTCTCCTCGCGCAAAGACTTTCACCATTGGCTCTGGCTCCAGCCAATTGTTATTGACTTACATTTCAAAATAAAACATTATAAATTAAACATTGTTTCTAGTTCATCTAAAATAAAATATGCTAAAATAAGTAAATATTCTCAGTGAAATTAATTATGATGCATAATGCACAGCCACACTAAAATTAAATGTTTATGACCACATGAAGCTGTTAGAAAGCAGAAAGATTGAGGATTTTCTAGAAACAAGGATAAAATATCATTTTGTGTAAACACCCTAACAAAATGATAGCTGAAATGTGGTACTTTATTAACTAAAATAAATGTTAATCCAAAAACCTGCTCACTCTGCTGTTATTTAATAGATTAAATGCACTAGAATTTTATTGAATACTATGTGGAGACACGTTTTTAATTAAAATATTCATATTAATCAATTTATTGACTTTTAATGCACCTTATTTCGAAATTTACAAAAATAAGTGCTTTCATATGTGCTTTAGTTATGATTATTTCATTTATTCACTACTTACTATTTATTATTAATGTTTAATTTCAGTTTTAGTTTGGCACTAGTTTTGTATTTATACCAGTTTTTATATGAAAAGGTTCATGTAAAGTGGATTAAAATTCATCCACAGAGTAAATCATGTTTGAACATGTTTCTAAAAATAAATTTGAAAAAGTTGTCGGAAGCATGGTGGTGGTGACGTTGAAGGCGAGCGACCGTGGTGTGGTTTGTTTATATCCTAAGTTTAGCTTTTTAGTTCTGGCGCTAGTATTTAGGCTTCAAAATTCATAAAAAAGTTATATTATTTTGTGAAGATTATCTTGATGGACAAAATGTCTAAGTATCATGAACTATTGTTGAGCACAGAGCTTATTTTTTACGATAATCCAAAAAACTATGGGAAAATCCTATTGTTTTTTTGTCGAAGGAACCTGTCATGCTGCTGCTAGGAAGATGATAACGAAGATCACATAAACAAATCCTTTTAATGGTAATCCACAAGATGAATAGGTTCTAACACACAGGATAACATTCAACAATAACCAACAACCAAAGGAACTGAGGAAGGAACTTAAATACACAAACAAGAGAGGGACTAAATTACTTAATTAACTAGACACAGGTGAACCTATCTAACATAATCAAGGGGGAAACAGAAAGTAGGTCAAAGGAACACGTGGGATGAATGAAAACAAACTCAAAGTCCATGAACAGAACATAACCGTGACAGAACCAGTGTGATGCTAACAGCCGATTGGCCTACAAAGTGACGTCATAGTTCCCCTCAATTGCGGGTTACTGTCATTACTGTTAGTTACTACAGCCTACAGTTTGCTAGATAGCTATACCTTCGTCACATAAATACATATATGGCTGTGTAAATCCAAATAAACTGCTAGAGGGAGCATCCATTCATATTGTAGCGGTATTTGACAGTTGAGAGAGATGGCAGCTTTCCCGCGAGTGGGCGTGGTTTCAGCGCAAACAGCAGCAGTGTTTGAAAGCAGAGAATACTGCTTATTTTTTCAAGATTTTGTTAACATTTTATTGGCTTTTTTTCTTCAAATTTGGCTGGGTGGTTAATAACACATTTTTTTTCTGTGGTGTGACAAACTCAGAACACATCTAATATTGCTTTACACAGACTTTAAGGTTATTGTCCAAGTTTTTGAACCTCTAACTTTAACTTGGTTATTTCTAATTCTAGTTTTTGTATCTCTAGTTTTAGTTTCACCTCTTGCAACATGAATATACCATACTGTTTTTCCAGCATGTGGTTCATGGTGATCTTGCTTGGGACATTCTGGGTCTCAGTGCTCAAGTTGCCACTCACAGCTGGTGCTTGGCTGTTGTCCTCATCATCTATACAGCAAAATCAAAGTTAGCCCAAAAGTATCTATGTTAGAGAGAGATTAAAACACATAGTTTGTTGTAATTTTGTAATGAGCTATAGGCAAACCAAACAGTGATGTCTATCTAAATCAGAGGTACTAAAACAGCTTTCTTGGCTACAGAACACTAAACAGAAAAAACGGTCAGAAAAACAACACTCTACTCACAAGATTGTCCAAGCAGAGCTGGGATAATGGCAATAGGAAGTGATGTTTCTTCTTTTGTTAGGGTTAATGGACTGGCCTGCTCTCACTGACTTCAAGGATTCCCCAAAACGTGTGTGATTCCTCTCCATACACTTCTATACCTTTCTGTTGTACTTTTCATTTATAATGGTTAGTTGTCCTCCTGTTGCTGTATTGTTTCTTTTAAATATCTCTTTCTTTACTTCCTGCACCATGTTTAGAAAATGTTTTTGAACATCTTTAACAATGTATTCATTTATAAAAAATATTTTATGGCATTATATTCTTCTAAAATGCAAATATACTTAGGTTAATGGCTATGTTTATGCAACCAGCCCCATATATGCTAAAGATTTATATTTGTTTGCTTGCATTGTATTAAAAAATTGAGGAGGTAGATCTGATCAAATGTAAGAATGTGGAAGTAGCTATGTAAAATCCTGTAGTGCAGTGACAACTGAAGTGAACTGACTAGTATGAAAAATAACATTTTATTTGATAATATGTTGATAATAAATTGAGAGTGCATCCTCTGGCGACTATGGTAGTCCTGTAACTGCCACTTAGTGTGTAAATGTGCAGTAATTATTTGAAAGCAATAACAATGTAACTTACAGACTTCCATGTGCACTGCATCTCCATGCTGAGCAGCGCCTTCTCCATTACTGGCCTCACAAAAATATGAACCAGTATCCAGTTTAGATATGCTCGGGAACTCCTGATCACACAAAGAAACCAATTTTACAAATATAATTTATCTCTCAATACAATGACGAGGTATAAACCCAGAATTATACTAACTCACAAAATTATATTTAAATTATAGCAATATAAATTACTGAATGTTTTGACGATTGAGTTTCAATCATTTGATGTGAAAAAAAAAAATGGAAAAAGGATCACCCCCTCCTAAAAATGACTTTTAAACTCAATCAGGTATAGCTAATCATCAGCTGTGGTCATTTCGATTAGCTCAGCATGAAAAGAGCTTTCCTGGAGCATTTCAGTCCTTGGTAGCACAAATGAAGCAAACAATCAACTATGGGTGGCAAAGCTGTCAAAAGATCTCCAGGATAAAGTTGTGGACAGGCACAAGTCAGGAGATGGATACAAAAAACAAAAATTCAAAACTGAGCTTTGCCAAAACGCACCTTGAAGATTCTGAGGCAGATGAGACAAAAAATTAATTATTTGGCCACAACACGAAATCCAATACGGTTACTTTAATCCAATACAGCTCACCATCCAAATAACAGCACTCCTACAGTAAAGCATGGAGGTGGTAATATTCTGTTATGGGGTGTTTCTCTGCAGCAGGGACTGGAGCACTTGTCAAGATAGATTGAAAAATGGATGGGGCAAAATATCATCAAATTCTTGAGGAAAATCTGCTGCCCTCTGCCAGAAAGT